TACGCTGACGACACGCTGGTACTGGCACAGGGGGGGTCGTACGAGGCGGCGGCGGAAAATATGACACGCGGGGTTGCGATAGTCGTTGAGAGGATCCGACAGCTGGGTCTAGAGGTGGCTCTGCACAAGTCCGAGGCCATGCACTTCCATGGTCCTCGGAACAGGCCACCACCGGGATCCTCAGCGATGGTAGGAGGGGTATCCATCGGCGTCGAGTCGACGTTGAAGTACCTAGGACTCGCCTTCGACGGCCGATGGAACTTCGTTGAGCACTTCCGACGTTTGGCTCCCAAACTGGAACGGACCGGGGCTACCTTCAGGCGGCTCCTGCCGAACCTGGGGGGCCAAACGCCTCCTGCCGGAGGCTCTACGCGGGGATTGTGCGGTCCATGGCCCTTTACGGGGCCCCGGTGTGGGCGCGTGGTTTGGCGCGGCTTGCCGTCCACCACCTGAACGCACCCCAAAAGGTGGTTGCCGTAAGAATGGTTCGCGGCTACCGCACGATCTCCCGCGAGGCAGCGTGCCTCCTTGCCGGATTGCCGCCATGGGATCTGGAGGCGATAGTCCTCGCGCGCCTGCACGAATGGCGCGCGGAGGCACTATGCCGGGGGGAAACCCCGCTGCCGCGGTAAATTGTCATGCAGCGGACAGACTTCCGGCATGATCTCATGGCGACTTGGAGAGAGCGACTGTCGCAACCCCGTGCTGGGCACGCCACTATAGCGGCGATAAGACCCCTCTTTGAGGAGTGGCTTGAGAGACGCCACGGCGTCCTCACCTTCCGCCTGACGCAGGTTCTCACCGGACACGGTGTGTTCGGGAGGTTCCTGCACCGAATCGGGCGGGAGGAAACGCCAGGGTGCTCCCACTGCGAGGATCGACCGGAGGACACGGTGGAGCACACCGTGGAGGTGTGCCCTGCCTGGGCGGAGCACCGCCGTGTCCTCGTAGCGGCGATAGGCGGAGGCGACCTCTCGCGTCCGGCCCTGGTCGAAGCCATGGTCCGGAGCGAGACGGAATGGGATGCCGTCACCACCTTCTGCGAAGCAGTGATGCTAGCGAAGGAGGTGGCGGAGCGGGAGAAGGAGAGAGCAGCAGCTTTCCTTCCCGGCCGCCGCGGGAGACGCTACGTCGTGGCCCCCGACCACCGTAGGCGCGGGCCTGTGGACGGCGAGCAATGGGTAGCTCGCCGTCCGTCCGTCTAACGACGACAGGCCGTGTCGACGGCGCGTTTTGTTCCACGCGCGCCTCAAAGAGCTGTCAGCAGCGTGAAGGGGCCCGCAAGGGCCGACGCCTGCCGGGGCTGCGGGCTGTTCGAAAGAGATACCGCGGCTCCGGAACGTAAGGGCACTGAAGGAACACGGATGATTTTACATCCGCAAAAAAAAAGGGGTGACAACGCATCTACATTATTAGTCTTAATTGAGGATAGATGTAGTTGTCTGTGGGTCACAAAATTCACTTGTCATTCAATTTCAATGCAATTCAAATTCAAATGTCACACTTACGGAACGGTAGTAGATTGTTCTACAAAAAAAATATAACTTCATTTCAAAAGTGCCCATATCTGTAATATATTTTATTTTCCAAATGTAAACGTCTAAACGATTATTTTTATGATTTTTTGACACCTAACACAAAAACACTCGTATAAATCACAGCCCAGTGTAATATCTGATGCAAATACGACGTTTATGGGCGTAATGTTTTTAATATTGCGTAACCAAAAATATTAAGCGCAACAATGAAATTATAGCAAAAATATTGTTTTGTTAGAGCTTTGTTTGACTGTATCACATAATAAATAATTGTACTACGAGCTACGACTATATCTCGACCTTGTAGGTAATCACGTCGTCTATTAACGTGGAGCACGCAACTACTTTTGTAGTAGAATAGATTTCTTATATTTACGCGAACACTATAGATTGAATAAAACTAGTTTTATGGATTTTATCGCGTTTAATTTTACTTGTTTTGAACTCCCGACTTTTAGAGTGCTTTGCAGCAAAACGTAAAAACAAGTAAAATAAAAAGTATAAGCTGACTTCAAATAACTAATAATTTAAAATTTAAAACTTTGTACAACAGACTTCAATATAAATTATTAAGAATAACTCAAAAACTATTGGTCAGATCTTGATCAAATTGATATGGGACCACATGAGAAGCATCAGCTTTCAAATAAAAAATAGAATCATCGAAATCGGTTTACCCAGAAAAAAGTTATGAGGTAAGACACATAAAAAAAAATACAGTCGAATTGAGTACCTCCTCCTGTTTGAAGTCGGTAGAAAATAGTTAAACCCCCGACTTCACAACATATTGTATTAAGTTCTTGGAATTCGGTTTATATTTTTTCTTAAAGGTTATTTTTTATTCTTTTGAGTTGACTTAGGAATATCACATTCTCTTTGCCCTTTGGGGACAATTTTTTTTCCAAATTTATATGAGACCTCTGATGTATAAACTATTTAATTAAAAAGAATCTATAATTGATCAAAATTCAAACGAAATATTCGAAATTCCAATTGATGAAGATATTGCGTAACATACTTAAAAAAATGCAGTCAATTGTAAGCCTCTTCCGTTTTAGGGTTCCGTACCCGAAGGGTAACCAACGGGACCCTATTAATAAGCCTCCGCTGTCCATCAGTCCGTCTGTCTGTCAGCGGAGTATCTCATGATCCGTAATAAGTAGACAGTTGAAATTTGCACAGAATGTGTATTTCTGTTACCATTATAACAACAAGTAATAAAAATAAAAATAGATTAAAAATTAAAGGGGATACCCTACTAGAAACATGTTTTACGATGGTACGGAACCCTTCATGCGTGAGTCCGACTCGTACTTGGCCGGTTATTTTAAGTCGGAAGGCGATAAAATTCGTAAAAGCAGTTTTGTTCAACGAAATATCATTAGTCAGTCTAAATAAAAAATATATACTTATCATCAAACTATCTAAGATTTCTCCCCTAATATGACAACTGTAATTAAAAAAATGTATAATTACTACCTACTATACAGTTTGCAAAGTCGTATCGTCAGTTGTCGGTTCTTCAAGCTATATGGCCAGTCCATTGGTTTTATTATTTTATAGGATAGGATGACAAACGAGCACACAGTCCACCCGATGGTAAGTGGTTGCTGTGGCCCATAGACATCTACACATCTATCCTCGTTTGCGAATCAAAATGCAGATGCGTTGTCACCCGTGAGGACTAAGATGGAATGCCTCTTTTCTAGTAAAATGGGTCTCCGGTTCTCTACACTCACCATACGAAACACAGCAGTGCTAAGCTGCTATTTTACGCTGGTATTCTGTGAGAGCGTGGTCCCTCCCCGGTCGAGCCGACCCATTCGTGTTACAACTATACTAGAAATATAGCTGCAGCATGGCTCTACCACGTAAAATACCTATTAATATATATACCTTCATGCGCGAGTCCGACTCGTACTTGGCCGGTTATTTTAAGTCGGAAGGCGATAAAATTCGTAAAAGCAGTTTTACGAATTATCATATTAATAATTATTATATTAATAAAACGAAATATCATTAGTCAGTCTAAATCAAAAATGTATACTTATCATCAAACTATCTAAGATTTCTCCCCTAATATAACCAATGTGTGTAATTAAAGATGTATAATCACTACAGTTTGCAACGTCGTATCTTCGGTTGTCGGTTCTTCAAGCTATATATATATATATATATATATATGGCCGGTCCTTTACTACAGCTTATTGATAAGTTGGGCTATTTTGCTTACGTTGTTTCTACTGCTATATTTTCATCACAAATTCTGTCACAAAGAGAAACTCGAAGCATATCCTTATCCATAGCCCCCTGAGAGACCGTAAGCTTCCTCACACGGCGAGCAGTGATATTAATTAATCCTGTCGGATAAAAAGAAATGCTTTAGCTTTAACGCTATACGCTGGCCTTTGCGTCTATTACAGATGATTTAAGATGTGTATTATGGTGACAATCTTACTCATATGAAAAACCTTTTCACATTTTAATTTACGTGGTAGAGCCGTGCTTCAGCAATATTGTGGTTGCAGTACGAATGGGTCGGCACAATCAGGTTTTGTCACAGCCTCACACGGCGAGCAGTGATATTAATTAATCCTGTTTTTATAAAAAAAACTTTTCATTAATTTTAATCAATCTTTTCTCCTTTAATACACAGTCCATGGATACCTGCACTTAGCTCCATAACAAAGAAACAGATAGGAGGGTTGTATCTACCCAGACTCCTAGGTAGAAAATCAGCTGACTTTTTATAAGGTACGTGAGGGTAATATGGTCACCTTAAGCTTTGCCGCCCTATAAAACTGAAACTAGGTGGAGGACAGAGACAAATACACAATGTCGTATACTATAACTAATATATTAAGAAAAAAAAAATAGCAAACAAGCCTTGCCAATAATTGAGAACACTTCGAAAAATCAACTTATAAATACTAACTACAGTACACAATACTAAAATCGACTAACATTTTTACTATATTCTCAACTGTCAAAATGGCGTCGATAAAGCAACGCCATTTTGACCCTTTATTATTTAATTGATTGATAAAAAGCTATCATATCAAAGATCCATATATACAAACAAGGCTGTAGTTTTCGAATTATAAGAAAGTGACCATATTAAACGGATGACCATATTACCCTCGAGTATTATAAAACAGAAGTTTGGAGTTTGTTTCTTTTATAAACAAATACCTTAAATTAACTTTCAAAAATATTCTGAATTTTCAAGGCTGCCTCCACAGGTGTTACACCAGATTCGCATAGGTCTTCTTCATCATTATCAGTCCCTAAAAGGCCACTGCTGGTATCTTCCAGTGTATTAAGTTTGCCTTAATAGTAACGTTTGTCAGGCGGATGCAGTACCAGACGTCTCACATCTTTGACTGTTGCTATCCGTCACCGGTCTCGATCAGATGTAAAATTCTGGAGCAAGATGTTATTAAAACGAGTATTCTTTTGTAGGCACTCAAGACACGACGACCATGCTAAAAACGAAGATAAGCCAGAACAACTCGACAACAGACCCAGGCTCCTGCAAAGGGTAAGTCAGTTGTGTTTGTTTATATTTGCGACAGTTATTTTGTTTTTCCGTATTCACATATTATATCCTCAGTAGATTTATTGGATCTCCAATTATTTTAAAAAGCAGTAGTTCTCTAATTTAATGATTATATTAATAATTTAAATGTATATTACATAAGTAATAATTATCGCTGGATGCATGTATATTGATATTGGAAATTAAATGAAAGTTTCAAAAATATACAATACCAAACGATTAGAGTTTAGAGTTATTTCAATCGTTCGTTTTGTCGACCCGCTTGCCAAGCGTGGCAACTATGGCAATTTTCCCCCTATGAGGCAATTTATGGGGGAGGCCTATGTTCAGCTGTGGACTGTAATAGGCTGTAACGGTAACGGAATTTGAAGTACAGATTGAGGACACCTGCATGTCTGAGAAATTAAAAAGAAATATTTCGAAGATATGGGAAGCCCGCCAACGTGCAAATTAGCAGTGCGGCGGACATTTCCTTGCCCTAAACGCTCTTAGAATTAAGAGGAGGTCTTTATAGCCTTTGCCCAGCAGTGGGCAAACGCTATAAAGGCTAAACTAAACAAAGTTGCTCATTACCACCAGCAGTGTTAGTGTTGAGAGCGGAATTGTTCCCCCCCCTCCCAGAATACGCAGGGTAGCTTGAGCACCCATACTCAGAAATAGTAGGGTTGTTTGGACGTGGATGCTCAGTGAGGGATACTCAATTACGAGAGGTGCTGGTATCCTCCTAAGGTAATCTCTTATTTAAATCCACTACCATGTTACGGGAAGGCGGTGTGTTTTTTTTTACCAACCGAAACACAGGAAAAAAATATAAGTACTTCACGCTGATATTCGTGAGGTCGTGGTAACGTGGTACTTCTCTGGTTCGAGAGTAGAGGTAATAAAGAAAAGCAGAAGTAAGTCGCTAGCTGAGGTCGTTAATATTAGCACGAGCATATTGAAAATGGATAGTACTAGAAAACGACTATTAATTTGAAATTTTATAAAATAAGCATCTATATGTAAATGATTTAAGTACCTAATTACCTTGGTTTCGTGACAATCAAATTAATTTTTATTCAATTAAAAGTATTTTTGTAAATAAACTTGTATCGCCTTTTGTAGCAAAATCTGAACGATCGCGTATCGTACCTAGTTAAGCGTATCTAGGTAAATATTCGTAGTTTTTAATCTATACAAATAAATAAAATTGAAGTGTCTGTTTGTAATGTCAAAATAACAACCTTTAACTAAATGAATATGAAAGTATATACGGTACTTATACTCGTAACATAAACACAATTTTTTTTTAATGTATAAGGGTGACAAACGATCATACAGTCCACCTGATGGTAAGTGGTTGCTGTGGCCCATAGACATCTATCCTCGTTTGCGAATCAAAATGCAGATGCGTTGTTCACCCGTGAGGACTAAGATGGAATGTCTCTTTTCCAGTAAAAAGGGTCTCCTGTTCTTTATACTCATCATCTAAAGCTAATCTCCAAAATGGTCGGACGGGACTTTCACTGGCAGATAGCTAATGTTATAAGGAGTAACTTAGCCTACTTTTATTTTTGAAAAGAAATTAGTGTTCCGCGCAAAATATACGAGTATTAAAACCCATAAAATCAATCGTAATAATTCCACGCGGGCTAAGTCGCGGGGAACAGCTAGAAAGCAATAAAGTTTATAATATCGATACGGTTTTGAAGGAATTTGGTTTGTCAAAATGTATGCTAATGAATTCTCTTTAGAAACCTTTCGATGTTACCCTTAAATAAACAAAGTAACAAAAAAACATAGCGTATTAATGGTTTCTTTATATACTGATTTTCAAGGTGAATTCCGTAAATCGGAAGCAGAGCTCATTGTCCTTGACACGCCAAAACTAATATTTTGCGACCTTGTCCATTATTCACTTTTTCGGTTTCTTTTATGCGTAGAACGTGTTTTCGACAATATAAAACAGCTATTCAAGGAGAACTACGGAATAATTGTTGAATGACATTTTCTTTCGTTCGGTTTTTGTGGCCTTGAAGGGGTTCTTTCGGAAATAGATTCTATCAGCGCGTTCTATAAACATTTTGGCTAAAAATAATTTATTTTAATTATATACTACCTACTTTAATTATATAACACTTTTATATAACACTTAGTATTTATGTACAAATGTTTGATATATGATACCTACTTAAGATATTTTTACGTGTTATAGTTTTAATTTGAGAGCATAATCAATACGTAAACATCTATAGGTAAAAATTTAGTGATGTCGGTAATATGCTAAGGGGTATCACGTACCTACAATTAGTTTTTATGGTATTTTGAAAGATGATTGAATTATTACTGAGTATACTCACATGAGTAAAGAAACCGAAATACATAACATTTTGGTCACAAAATAACATCTATTTTTAACTCCCGACGCAAAAATAAGGGTGTTATAAGTTTGACCACTGCGTGTCTGTATATCTGTATATCTGTGGAATCTAGCTCTTAAACGGGTGAAAGATTTGGGTTTGGTTTTTTTTCTTTAAAAGCAGGATTTCTAGCGGTGGTTCTTAGACATGTTTTATCAAAATCGGTTCAGCCGCATCAAGGTCATCAGCCGTTTAGTTAGCTGTATGGTTCTTTTCGGGGGTTATTAAAATTTTCTTTTTAAGATATTAACTAAAATTGGTAGCATCTATTTATTTTTAAGCTAGGATCATTATAAAATATTCTATTTTTAAAGTTAACAATATAATAGTAGCACTAAAAAGTTAGGTAATGAGAAGGTCACGCGTAAAGAGTACAGCATTAACCTTTTTTGTGTACTTACAGTAAAACAAAAATACAAAAGACATATTCGCTGACAGCTAAAGACTTCTTTTCTCTTTTGAATATACTAGAAGTAATGGTAACAAAACATTTGCTCGTTTTCAGAAATGTTCTTGGATTAAAAGTAAAGATCTTTTAAATAAAGCTTACCATGCAAACGCGCAATTAGTAATTTTAAAATCACCTTAGTAAATATAAAAACCTTATATTATATTTTATAGCCAATAAAACTCTATAGCTAACATAGGCCTTCCCCAAAGATTTTCCCCTAAAGGAAGTTTTTACCATAGTTGCCACGCTAGACATGCGGGTTGGTGACTGCAGTTTTTATAATTTTGAATTGTTAAAAGGAAGACTCTGCTGACCATTTCCGGTTTCAGTTTCCTTCCGTCGCCACTTTGACACCCACGGGACAATATGGGGTATTAGGTATTAGACCATAATCTTACACAGCCACTACACGGTTAATTATTATTGGTTATTATAATGTTAACTTATTGGTTATTAATTATTAACTATTGACATGTGGGAGCAATGGATTGTTATACAAGTTGGATAGATAAAGAAGTAAACCTGATGGTGAGTGGATACTGTGGCTAATAGACACCTCTATTTTTCCACAATTAAGAATCAAAATGCAGATGCGTAGTGACCACTGTGGAATAACTAGTTACAAGTAATAATTAGATCTTCTGTTTTCGTCACCTACCATATATAGCTACAGTACACAACAGCATTTCACAGTGCAATGTTACGCTGATACTCTTTGAGATGATTGGTTTTAAATTTAACTACGAATTCTAGCAGACGAACTTAGAATTCGTATTTATTTTTGTCACTAATGATTCGGTAATAGCAGGACGAATAATATACGTCCGACCGCGCCAAAAATGTTGCAAAATAAAGTATGTGAGACTGAGTAGTTATACATATTTCATTTTGAAAATAAAATTAAATACGAAATGTTTTGGCTCGAGCTCTACCGCCGATGGATTTTTCTTCCTGTATTATTGTATAAATAATATTTTGAACAGGGATTTGTTATGTAAAATTGGTGCGCTTTTACGTACCTAGTCAATGTGTGCGCGTGTAAATTATTAGATGAAACGATGAAACAGGTGTTCTAATGGCGCAGTTGCTTAGTAATGAGGTGCAGCGCCGAGGCCCGCGTGTTCGGATCCCGCACCGAACAAGAATTTGTATGACCTACAAATAATTGTTTCGGGTCTGGATGTTTCTTCTTATGAAAATATATGTATGTAAACTGCCCCCACGATACAGGAGAACATCTTAGTGTGGTGTGTGTGTCTAAATTGTTTTAAAATAGGACTTGGAAATTTATTGTTGTGTTTTTGGCTGGCTTAAGATAGGTACTATCGTCATCGACTATCTGCTGGTTCAATTTGCTGTCAAAATCTCTCAAGAACTTTGCAACGTTACGCATCGACATATTGCGAACAAGCTTTTAAACAAACTATTATATTACTTTGACACTGACAGAAGTACAAACAACCGTACGAGTCTAGAAGTACTATCAAAGAAAAAACTACAAAAGTATGAATGTTCCAATTTAAAATATTCCTCCACATTTTTTACGACCTAGATTGAAATATCGTATTTCATTGAAAAATGGATCTGGATCGTTTCGTGCGATGACTTTTTACGATTTCAAATGTTGCTTAAAACCATACAAATCGTTTGATATACTTCAATTGAAATTTATGCCCTACGGCAAGTGTGTACAGTAATGGTAACAAATTTCAGTATAGTCGATTATCTTTGAGAGGCGAAAAGAGAAAGTGTCGCTGTGTCTACGATATTATTACAAGTGATAAATTTTGGATTTATTTTATAATTCATCATCTGTAATAAAACATTAATGTAATACTTTACTTACTTTTTTTTTTACTTATCTTCACGCACAATCCCTGACGGGGTAGCCAGAGAGAACAGATCGCCAAGTGTCACGATCCTTACATATCTCTTTCGCTTCTTTCAGATTCATTATCTTCTTCATACATGCACGTCTAGGTATCCGAGTACTCTTGACCCTACCCTCTTCGAGCAATTTGCTCACATGGTCTTCGAAAGTTAGTCTCGGTCTACCTCGACACCTTTTAATATTAACTTTCGCGCTATATATTTTCTTCACCATTCGGTCTTCACTCATTCGCTCAACGTGC